CTTTGATGCATTCATGATTTGACACAAGTATGTTAGAAGTACGTGTGACAATTGTGTCTATTTTAAGAGATTTACTGATGGTTTGTTCATCTATTTATTGCTATGTGGATGATATACTTATTGCTGTGAAGAATTCTTCAAAAATAATTAAATTGAAGACTCAGCTTTCCAAATAATTTATGATTAAAGGTTTAGGTTGAACACATTTTTTTTTTAACATGGAGATATGTAGAAATCGAAAGTTAGGTAAATTGTGGCTATCTCAAAAGGAGTTTATTGAGAAGGTCCTTGCTAAATTCGGGAAGAAAAATTCAAAGCCCGTGGGTGCTCCTCTTGTTGCATGTTTCAGATTGTTGGCAACATTATCTCCAAGTTCAGATTTTGAAAAGAAAAACATGTCATGTGTTCTCTATGAGAGTGTTGTTGGAGGCCTCATGTATGCAATGGTTTGCACTCTTTCAGATATTTCTCATGCCGTTAGTGTTGTTAGCAAGTATATGGCTAATCCAAGAAATGAGTATTGTAGTGCGGTAAAATATATTTTGCATTACCTAAGGGGTATATCAGATGTGAATATGGTGTTGGATGGAAATAACAAGTTTGGTAACAAGGTTATTAGTTATGTTGATATTGACTTTGTATGTGATTTGCACTGTAGGAGATCTACTATAGGTTATGTGTTTATACTTGTAGGAGATCCGACCAGTTGGAGGTTGATGCTACAAACCATGGTTGCTTTATCTACGACTGAAGCAAAATACATGACAGTTACTGAGGCAGTGAAAGAACCATATGACTTAGAGGGTTTGTAAGTGATTTGAGCTTACAACAGAATGATATTATTGTTTATTGTGATAGTCAGAGTGTAATACACTTGGCAAAGAACTAGCTATATCATGAAAGGACAAAGCCTATTGATGTCATGTACCATTTTATCCGTGAGATGATAGCTGAATGAGATATTTTGTTACTGAAGATTGACACTAAGAAGAATGCCGTGGATATGCTGGTAAAGCCGGTTCAATTACAGAGGTTTAAGCCATGCTTAGACTTGACTAATATGTTGCCAAGGTGAGCACCTGGGGACGCATGTGAGAAGAGGACCGATAGGAATATCTTTTAGAATTCAAGCTAAGGTGGAGTTTTGTTGATAATTACTGTCATGAATCCTAAAGATTAAGCGATTTGTTTCCTTCTTTATAGATTTCTTATTTATTTGGGTTGTGTCTATTATTTAGGATCTGATTTTATAGGTAAGTCCATAGAGATTAGGATAGACATATGAGTCCATAGATAAATGCAAAGTTAAGTTTCCAACAAAGTAAGGAAAATGTTTGGAAGGCCATAGGTGGGCCTTTTTTAAAGTTCTGTTATCTATTTACGTTGTTTTGTAGAGAGAGAAAAAGTGTTAAAAAAATAGAGGAAAATTTTAGGGGGTTTTCTAGAGAGAAAATTATAGAGAGAACAAGGCTTGGTGGGATATTGAGCTATGTATCACTGTTTCTCTGAAAGTAACTACCTTGTAATTCTCTTTTTTTGATTTAGTGAAAAATATCGACTGTTTTTGCTTGTAGATGTAGTCACATCTGTGACGAACCACGTAAATTCTGATGTTCTCTTTTTTTGTTATTTCTTTTCTACTTTATTTTCTTGCTTGTTACATGTTCTATTTTTCTCGCATTTGATTTGCCCCCATTGGGGTTAGTGCTTCAACAATATGCACCTATTTTAAGAAGAGAGGCTAAAAGAGGTGGGAGAGAGAGATAAAGAGAGAGAGAGAGGTGCCTAGTTACCTCTAGGCAAAGAGAGAAGAAAGCTTAAAATATTAGGAGGATTCTAAATGAACTCCAAAAAATATTTAAATAGGACTCTATCTTTAAGGGGATTTAAGAAGCTAAAATGTTTATATTAAAAATATTTTTTTCCCTAATCTAACTAAATTAGTGAGTTCACAAATCCTAGTGAGTTCACAAATCCAAGAGATATATGAAGAGAGAAAGAGTAAGGAAATGAGAGGGAGGAATGGAGAGAGAGAGAGAGAGGGGAATATGTAGAAAGAGAGGGAAAGAGTAGGAAGGCCAAATAATAGGAAGTTGAGATCAAAATCTAAAAGAATATCTTCCTATCTCTCCATGCAAGCGTAAGTTTTTATTTTTTAGGATTTCTAATTTTGCGTAAGTTTTTATTTTTTAGGATTTCTAATTTTTTCAAGATATTGAGAGGAAAATAATAAGAGAGAAGAAAAACACGTAGATGCTTAAAGACAATTTTCTTGAAGATGAGAGATCTGCTATTTTCAATGCCTTGTTCTATTCTCAATGAAAACGTAACATGTTTTCATTGGCTTTCATTAATACTCCTAATATCTAGAATGTATATGCGCACATATTCATAGTAATACCTACCTACAAATTTTGGATGTCTTTGATTTACATTTTTACTTCATTAATTACTGTCACTCCATAAGAAAAAAGACAATCCATATTTTTATATCTAAATTTTTGGATAGATTTTTTTCGTCTTTTTACGAATTCATCTGTTTGTAATCAGGTATGTCTCTTTCATCTTCTCATTGTTAACTTTGTTTAATATATTACTTATTGTGTCTCTTTTTATCTTTTTTCTCATGCTATTATGTTATTGCTTCATTTTGGTTATTTACTTGAAGTTTATAAAAGAAATTACATTGTACGTTGACAATTTTTATTGTTTCATGTAGATAACATTATCTATTATATTTTTGTCCTAATGAACTAGGAGATAGAAGTAGTGATGGATATTTCAAGTTATAAACGTTATATGAGTTGAGTCATAATATTGAATTATTTTTATTAATGTTTTCTATCTGTATTTACATTGTACGTGCACCGCTCGTAAAATCGACTAGTAGTTTAATGCGCCTTCCCGAGGTTAAGTTTCCCTTAGCCCCAAACCAAGTTCTCCTGAACCTTGGAGCATAGGATTGAAGGTCCAAAGATCTTAGTATAGGTCCAAAAAGCTACCTATGAGTTGCAAGTAGTTGATCAATTAGTAGATGAATTCTTATTTACGAAGTTATGAACTTAAAATTCAGGACGGAAAATCTTTTCTATGTAAAAGATGAGAAGGCAACTTTTGCAAGGTTTGTGTGATCTCACCCGCTCAATTTTGGCAAAATCCGCCGTATCTTTGTCGAAATACGGCATAGGGTGCCCAGTCATCAAAGGCGACTATGCATGCGCACTACACTTAGTAGATAGGTGGCGGTATAGTTTTAACCCACTTGCTGATTTTTTTACACGTGTTGATTTTCGGAACAAAATGTAACCTAAGTCTTTGTGCATGTAGGAATGGTGTCGACCACTTAGCAAGCAAGTGTAAAAGCTTTTGTTCCACTTCCATCTGGTTGAAGACAGAAAAATTTGTGTTAATTGATGGCAAATATTTGCAATGCAGTAATATGGAGATATTAGATGAGAGATTGCTTAGAAAGAGATTTTTATCAAAGAAATTTAGATGGGGATTGGGTAATTTTACCGAAATTACCTATTAATCTATAAGTTCAAGTTATTGAGGTGCTTTATTTTTTTATTTTTTCAACCCCCGGTTTTTCCAACATGAGATCGTACCCTTGCCTTAGCTTTAAGATCTAAAATGAAAAATCTCTTCATTTATTATGTTCTTTTAATTGTTTTAAGTAATTTAATAATGAAAGCCACGACGTGATAATTAGAGTGTGGGGGGTACTACCACCCCCTTTCCCGATTCTTTTGTTTGTTAGTTTGTTATGTACACCAGGGGAGCACAGGTCATTAGCCAAGAACCAAAGAACGTAGCCCGGTCTTTAAAGTGGCGGTTTGTACGCGAAGTGTGTTATACACCAGTTTTATACGGCATATGGAAGACCGCTAAGACAATCGCTTGCGGATAGTTTCTGGTCCTTTCATTGACGAGGACAAAGACACTTTTTAGGTCATATGGTCAAATCCAATTAATCAAAAAAAAGCTTTGATGATGACAACGATGAAAAATTATGCTCTAGAGGCTGACCGTCGATATCAAACAATAATATATTTCAAAATCAAATTTTACTAGTAGACAATCTCAAAAAAAAAAAAAAAAAAAAAAAAAAAAAAAAAAAAAAAAAAAAAAAGAAAAGAACACCTAAACCCCTTTTGAAGGACTTATCTTCAGCCTAGGCAATAAAATTCTCTTATATTTGTGCCAAAATTAATGGCACATCTGCTTGTGACACTACTTTTCAAGGATGCAATTTCAGTACTATGTTTTATTGATAAACTGCTGCCAATTGAGAAGTTCTACGTAGTAAAACAAAACACGAAACCTTAGTAATTGTTACGTGTACACTTGGTCCTTTTAGTACCATGACTATTTATCCATATGACTAGGCAAGTAAGATAAAGTTCAATTGTGATGAAGTAGTGCGATTGTCCATAAAGGCAATAGAAGGACAAAAAAAAAAAAAAAAAAAAGAAAGAAAAAAAAGGAGAGGCGAGACTCTAAGCAATTAAAGTAGAGCGCACCTTCAAATAGTGTCGAAAAATGTAGTTTTAATATTGAAAATATTTACGATAGCTTTAAAATATATTTTCATCTCTAATTATAAAATTTAAAGCTTAAAAAATAGTTTAGATCTACTAGATCTATGAAAACTTGAAAATTAATGGTCTAAAAATACGCTAAAAGATGTACTATTTTCAAAACTTAAAATCCAATTTTTTCTCATGATCATGTATCTTGATGTCGAGATGATCAATTTAAAGATATTTGAGCATCAAATCAACCTCTTCTAATAAAATTTTTGAGATGCAATTTAATTTGATCGTTCAGAGCCTCAGCTCTATATAAACTTTTTTTCAAAAAGAAGTAAACTTCCGTTTGTATCCATGCGGATATCCAAGTGACTTCTGGACGGTCCGTCAACAAAATTGACTACAGATAGTTCTCAATTGATGAGATAGACCTAGTGTTGCCATATACCAGCACATGCACACTTGAAATGAAACAACCCACATATTTTACTACTGAACTTTTTATTACATTTCTAGGGTTAAATATCTAATAGTATTGATTCTGAACACATAACGGAAGGAACAAGATTCATGTAGCTCATCCTAAATAATTAAAATAAAAATATGAATTCGCACAAGCGAAAAAACAAGATTCATGGATCTCTTCCAAAATAATCAAAATACGGATTTGAACACACAAGCGTGAGAACAAAATTCATGTAGCCCGCCCTAAATAATTGAAATAAAGGTTGGATGATGATGATAACTAACTCAGAGAAATTGGCGGTGAGGGATAGCGATAAGAGAGAGAGGAACTTTCCTGTGCATGGTGAGCCCAAATATCTCAGCCATGTCCATGTCATTTGGGCTCATCCCATGAGGCAATTCCCAGTCAAAATGAAGCAAAAGGTTGGCGAGAGCAAGCTCAAGAGAGGCCACACCAAAAGCTATGCCAGGACACCCTCTCCTACCTGCCCCAAAAGGAATAAACTCGAAATCCTGACCCTTATAATCTATGGAAGACTCGATAAACCTTTCGGGTCTGAACTCCTCCGGGCTCGCCCAAGTCTCGGCGTGCCGGCTTATCGCCCATGCATTGATGATCACCTTAGTCCCTTTAGGTATTTCATAGCCATTGATGCTGCATTTCTCTAGAGACTCTCGTGGCAGGAGCAGGGGGACTGGTGCGTGCAGTCTCATGCTCTCCTTCATCACGAGCTTCAAGTACTCGAGCTCGGGAAGGTCGTTCTCGCCGATAGTTTGTCGGCCATTGGCGATCTTTCGTACTTCGTCTTGGGCTTTCTTCATCACATTGGGGTTCTTCATTAACTCTGTCATCGTCCACTCTAGGACTGTCGCAGTGGTCTCAGTTCCAGCCCCAAACATGTCCTACAAAGAGAAAACTACAGGTTGAGAGAGACATAGAGAGAGACACAGAGAGAGATAGAGAGAGAGATCAGTACCAAGATGACGGCTTTAAGGTTGTCCCGAGTGAAAGGGAAATCGAGATCAGCTCGCTTCTGCACTTCCAGCAAAACATCGACGAAGTCCTTATGTTCATCGTTTGAAGGTCTGGTGTAAGGATCAAGGTGGTCCTCTATCACCATCTCCATAAAAGCATCCAATGTCCTGAAAGTCTTCTTCTGGCGTGCCCGAATTCCAGTAAGCACGTCGATCCAGTCCAACGATGGGAATTGATCACCAAGACTGAATCCTCCCAATAGAATCTGTACCTCATTTAGTACCTCATAGAACTTGTCATAGCTCTTGCCGAAGGCGACCCTACCAATTATATTGTTGGTGAGAGAGAGGAAGAGTTGGCTAAGGTTAACGGCACCCTTCGATCTCTCGATCGTTTCCACCATGCGCGCGACTTCCTCCATTCTCACGAACCGGAACGACTCCACTCTCTTGACGCTGAGCAACTCCAGGATACAGATCTTTCTCATATTTCTCCAGTAGGAGCCATAGGGAGAGAAAGCTATGTCAGTACTGTTGTAGAGAATATGCTTCGCAGAGTTGACCTGAGGTCTGCTTGCAAAAGAGAGATCATGGGTTTTCATGACTGCCTTGGCCATGGCAGGAGAAGACACCACAAGGGTTGGGACTTGACCTAGCTGCAAGAACATGAGAGGACCATACTTTAGGGCTAGGTCTCTAAGAGAGCGATGTGCAAGCTTTGATAGTTGGTGCAGGTTGCCTATTAAGGGGAGCTTAGGGGGTCCAGGAGGCAGCTTGGCTTTTGGGGTGGTGCCTTTCTCTCTCTTACTCCGAGTTAGAGAGAGAAACAAGAGTATTGAAGAGAGAGAAAAGAAAATAAATCCTAGGAAGGAAGGCTTCTCCAACCATTGGGGAAGTGATGCCATTTTTGTGGGAGCGGTTGCAGGGATTGCAAGGAGATGGTCCCTTAAATAGAAATATCTTGAGGGCACATGGGTCTTTTACAAAGTTTGGATTGCATGGAGATGGTCCTCTTAAATAGAAATATCTTGAGGGCACATGGGTCTTTTACAAAGATGGATTGCATGGAGAGGGTCCTCTTAAATAGAAATATCGTGAGGGAACATCTGTCTTTTACAAAGATTTTGTGAAGAGTTGTTATCTATTGAAAAGTCGAAGAGTTGTTACCTACCAAAACACGCGCGTTAGATTTTTTTGCGCATTACGACAAAATTGCGATTAAATTTAGGCCGCCAGTTCCTTATTTTCCGTTCCTAGTAAGACAGTTTTTTCCATTTGACATCATTTCTAGTAAGATTTTTTTTTGCATTTCACATTATTTCTAGTAAGACTTTTTATTTTTTTTTGTCATTTAATTTTTTGATTATTTAAGGTCGAAGCTCGTGAAAATTTAATATTAATTGATTGGGATTCCAGGAAACTTTTGATTTTATATATTAAAATAAAACCTAGATTAACATGTTAAAGAGCCCCATTACATACTAATTCCACATGCATGTATTATGCAACACTTACGTGCCCATGAATTATTATTTTGCGGTCCAATATCTTAGGTAAAAAAATACCGACAATATTGTATTTATTTAGTATATAAAGGTCACAATCATCATTGACTGTTAAATGTGAAAACAAATAGCCGAAAGTATCTCACTAATCCAACTAAAAGTTTAAAAAGAAATTCTTGAGCTTTTAGACATAGGTCGAGCTATAGGATTTATAGGTCAAGCTATAGGATTTTGTTGTATTTTTGCTTTGGCAAACTATTACCCTTCAATATAGTCCTTGGAAAGTAAAACTATGTAGAAAGAAGTAGTGGTTTTAGTTCCACATTGAAAAAATCAGAAGTATAAGTGATGCTTATATATGAAAATACTGTTGTGAGAGCCAAGGGGAGAGGAGGTCTATGAGGAGTATTCAACTGTGCAATATGCATGTGCTGCGACACGTGAGTGCACAAGCATTCATCACTTGCTCTCTTTTCGTTGCAATCAATGTCATCACTTGCTTTCTTTTTGATGCGATCAGCGCAAATGATTCTTTAAAGACCATCTAATTTTTGATTCTTTAAAGACCATCTAATTTTTGGACAATCAGACTTAACTGTTTAAGAATTCAAAATCCAAATTGCTTTTTTGAAATAATCATTGTATGTTCTTAAGTGTATCACCAAATTTCACTTGAAGAGATCCTATAAAAAGCTCTTTTGCTAGAGGAAATAAGTATGGGGATTGAATACTGTGAAATCATTTATCTTTGTTGCAAAAAGATCATAATTGCTAGTAGCCATTAGATATCAAAGTGAATGGCTTGGGGAGTGTCGCAAAGTTGAAGATTTTATGACTTCCTTGTATTAAAAGTAGACAGTGTCTCTATATACTTTTCTATAAGTATAATAAACTGTGGGGACAAATTCTACACGTTGTAACCTAAATTAACTCCAAATTGATATTTGATATAACCATTTCGTATCCATTGCCACAACCAAAAGTTAGTTACCAGCCAACACGAACGCCACATAGGCAATGTCTTTTTATTTGGTTAATTCAGCGAGGAAGATGCCGTGTCTCTTTTCTAGATAGATTAAGGAATTAGCTTTTTTGAAACTACAGTGAGGAAGACGTGCCCTATCCCTTTTTTTATATAGCTTTTTAACAAGTCTGAAAATCACAATATGCTAACTAGATACGGTGGTTCACGACCCAACCCAACCCCTATCTAGGCAATGTGTCCTGACTATTCACAACATCCTCGTACCGAGGGGACCATTCCGATGGGTTTGCATGGATGGTCCCCTTAAATAGAATTATCAAGAGCTCAAATAGGTCTTTTGCAAAAATTTTGTTGAAAGTTTGGATCCATTACAAATTTTACATAAGAGTCTTATCTCTAGGCAAGTCCATTAAGACAAAATTACAATGAAATTTAGGTGGCTTAAGGTCCCCTATTTTGCATTTTAGAGCATAATCAGTTACAGACTTTTTCTGGAATGCCCATTTATTTTTTCTGTTATTTAAGTTTAAAGCTCCTGAGCCTTTCAAATAAATTGACAAGGTCTAAGATTCTAGTAAGCTTTTGATTTTATCAAAGAAACTAGATTTAAACGTTAAAGGTTCCCATTAATGCTAATTCCACCGGCACGTATTTCTTGTATTATAAATGGCACCGGCCAACCCTAGCAGAGCTAGGGCGAGGGCCAAAGCCTCTTTGGCTCGATTACGGCAGGGTTAGAGGCAACCAAGCGAGGGTAAGGCTGGCCCAAGTCAGGCTCAGCCCATCGCCAGCCCTACATATTCATTTAGTAAAAAGAGTTCACAGTCACCTTTGATTGTTAGTTGTAAAATCAAATGGCCAAGGGTGTCGCTTAATTGAACTCAAACGTTAAGATTTTTTTGATCTTTTAAGCTATAGGTTTTTGTTGTATTTTTTCTTTGGAAAAATATTGTGAGTTATTAAAAAATAATATCCTTCCAACATTATAGTCCCTTGAAAGTGAAATTATGTATATAGAAGTATGGGGTTGGGGTCTAGTGGTAGCATCACTTATGCCCTACCTAAGGTCTAGGCTTCCATTATTATCTAACGCTTTCAAAAACCACTAACGATTTCAAAAGTAGGTAGGGGTTTTTCATCCCCACTGAATTACCAAACAAAAGAAGAAGAAAAAAAAGAAAAGAAAAGTGTGTTTTAGTCCCAAATTGAAGAACTGAAAAGTATTAGTGATTCTTAAATAAGAGAATACCCTCTTTGGGGTGGCAACAGACCGCGTTGGGTTCGGGTCCAACCAGACCCAAAAAAAAATTATGGGATTGGGACTCAGACCCTACCGTGAAGTTATACGACTTGGACCTGAATCCAACCATACTCGAAAAACGTTTATGGGCTAGGACCCATAAACGACCAAGAAGTTATCGGACCTAGACCCAGCCCCAGATCCAACTGGATCCTCTAAGCATCGCTGTGAATTCTGCCATGTTAGCCGTTGTATTTCCAATAGGTCCGGCGTAGGCGAGAATAATTGTTTCTGTCCAGTCTCGTACTACACCTCCAATCCCTGCATTTCTAAGATTACCAAGGGAGCTACCATAAAAATTTAACTTTAATATTCAATCTGCACTTTAGAAATATCAGATTCAACACCTTTAAACCTCACTGAACTACCTTTACTTATCTCCGTTCTCTAGAAGCAATGCTATCTTCACAAAGGCGAAACGTCTTTGACTTGTCATCTCCCTCGTTTGCACGAATCCACCGTCTCTCCCCTTCTCCTATCTATTCTCACAACCAGGGTTTCGCCCCTTTCTACGGCACGTTTTTTTGAAAAAACTTTCACTTCCAGCCACTGATTCCCCTTTCTTCGTCACTCAAAAGCTTCACATCTCTCTGCTCCGTCATATACACTCTCTCTTCAGAATTACGTCGAGTGCTCTAAAACTCCCCTCATTGATGAGATAGTTTCATCCATTTCAGAGATCTTAGTGCTGCTTTTTTCTCTTGTTTGTGTTTTTTAGTTCAAACATTTTATCGAGACCGTCTATTTTCTAGACAGTCAGATCTAAGTGTTTAACAACTCAAAATCCAAATTACTTTTCAAAAATATTCTTTTGATGTTTGTCCGGCGGTTTGCAAAATTTCACGCAAGAAAATCCTACTATTGAGCTCTTTTGCTCGAGGGAATAAATATACAATATAATGACCATAAAAACATGTTATACTTGCTCTAACTAAAATTAATGAACCAAGAGTTTCCAAAGTTATTGTATGGCTTCCCATAGTTGTTAAAGAGAAAGTCTCTTCTCCTTTCTTTCCCTCTATTTTTCTTCTCTCTTCACTTACTTGTACTTGTAATTCCTTATTATCTTAATGAAATTTTACCATTACCGATCTCAAAAAAAAAAAAAAAAAAAAAATCTTAATCCAACATGCCCAGAGGTTTCGAATGGGCCAAGCGTGTGCACATTGAAGAGAATGACATTTCATAAACGTCATTATGACATGCATTTCATATCCATTGCCACCCCAAAAAGGTCACTAGAAGCCAACACGAAATGCCACATAGGCAAGGCTGCCTTCTATTAACAACTCCCCTTACTTTTACTTTTTTTTTTGAGAAATGATCCTATAGGACCCTCTCCCATCTATGTGTGTAGGACCTCAAAGGATCACCATTAAATTTGGCATGGATCTCTAAAAAAGTCAAGTCCCAAACCCATGTGATAACTTTTCTAGAGATCCATGCCAAATTTGATGATGATCCTTTGGGGTCCTACACAAATGGGTGGGGGAAGATCCTATAAGATCATTACCCTTTCTTTTTTGGCAATATCCAAAACTTTATTAATGAAAGAAAGTTACAACAAGGAATTCTGATGGGTCAACTAAAGTGGTTGGATGGTAAGGACATTGAAAATGTGAAGTAACCCTACATATGTTTAGATTTTTGCTAAGGGTGGCGTTTGAATAGATGTCCCATGCTGTACAAGTAAGGTTATTTCTAAATTTTGTTGAAAGATGTAATTTTGATGTCAAAAACCTTATAATGGCTTGAAAATATATGTTAAATCTTAATTATGAAATTTAAAATTTTAAAAACAATTTAGATCGATAATATCCATAAAGAGTTGAAAGTATTGAAAATCAATGGTCCAATTAATTTATTACAACTACATATTCTTTAGGATGTGAACCTGCACGAGTAAGGTGCACCTAAAAAACCAGTAGAGAAGGTTGTTCTTATGTCAAAAAACCATCAAATCGATCATCTAGACCTCGATATTTATAGACATGAAAAAAAAAGAAAGGATATCTAGTCCTAAAAATAGTTCATTTTCTAAAAACATTATCTGGATCGTTTATTTTTATGATTTTCAACTGTTTATAGATCAGGTTGATGTCACTATTTCTAGAACTTTGAATTTCATAATTGGGAGCAACAATATATTTTCATATCATTGCAAAGCTTTGTGGCACTGAAAGTTTTCGATATGGCTTTGAGGTACACCTTATTTTAATAGGATAA